CTTTCGCAATTGACCCTATAGTTTACTATAATGTTTAAACCAAAATTACCAAATTTTACACTGTGCTCCAATGCAATGCCTACCTGATGGAGCAGAAGCCAGTCAACACTGGAACTCGCGAGGCCAGCCTCATCAAGTGATGCCTGAATAGTCAATGGCACGCTGCGTACAGCAAAACGGAACACCTCTTTCCCATTCATTTCTATGCAAGAATAGGATGACTTTCTCGGAGGGAATAATGGAGCCCCATTTGTACTTGAAATGACTTCAGGCTCGGCGTCTTTGGCTAAGGCATTCAAGTGCCTGAAATGAACAAAGGCTGATTATAAGAGATCCAGAAATTTAGAGATGTTGTATGTTAAAAGCCAGCTGAAGCAAGTCCCTCCTACCTTTGGCCAGTGCCATCACTATTCAAATCAAAGCCAAGCAAGCCATCTTCATCCCCACCACAGGCCTACACAGTTTGCATCAAGAAGGAAAGGAATTGATTGACTCAGATATTCTTTGAACGGGATATGCATGTGTCCGTACAGTGCACACTATGCATACACATGCATGTGGTGTGTATCTTGTTTATGTAAAGAGAGGAAAGTGTCTTTTTTTTTTCTTTCTTTCTTTTTTTTTTTTTTGGGGGGGGGGGGGGTTTTTTTGGGGGGGGGGNTAGGATTGACTCTTTTTGAATATATGTTCTGTGCCCACCAGGCAGATCTTTTTTCTCAGCTGAACACATAAGCCTTGAACTCGCTTCCAGAAGGTGTGGAAGAGGGGTTGAACATCAACAAGATGCATTATATATTAGAGTTTGGTAGTGAGAAATAAACTTTTCTTTAAAAGGTTTACTTCTAAAGTTTATGATAATAAAAAACCTGGAAAACAACGTGAAACTTCGAACTGCATAATTATCTATTGTGATTGTAACGTATATTTGTGTAACTTCCACTCGTGTCAGAAAGGTAAGAACTCCAATAGTTGGTTATTTCTGAGCAAGGCATTCCAAACTTTCTTTGGTTCTTTTAGCAAGTTATAGCAATATTATTGCCAACATACCACTGATGATCAGATCAATGAAGATTGCCCATAATAGAAAAGGTAAAGATCAAATTACAAGTGGAATATGCCATCCAGAAAAGGTTATGGGTGAAAATTATTCTTTTCTAATTACCATGAGTGTATCAGAGACAATCTATGAGGAAGACAACCTTAAAATGACAGAGGTAGATCTACAAATTACCTGGACTAGAACAGCACCGGCAGCGTCACCAAAGAGAATGCATGTTCCTCTATCAGTCCAATCCACATAGCGTGATAGAGCATCAGCTCCAATGACTAGAATATTTTGATAACCACCACCTATAATTGACGAAGCACATTCATTTTGTTAATAAAGCAGAAATGTCAAATACGCAACTCAGGAAATAAATAAATGCTCTACCTTTGATGAAGCGTGTAGCCGTGATTAACCCCACTATAAACCCACTGCATGCAGCTGTAATATCAAATGCCCAAGCACTTTTGCACCCCAGATCTTTCTGAATCTGAACCAATATAGAACGAAGGACAAAAGAAGATATCAACAATCCGGTGATCCAAAAGAAGAAAACCCAGATAAAGTATTAACTGATTCTGCAGAATCATCAATCAGAACTAAAGTATAAGCAACTCCAGTTGGAGCATGTAAACCTTTTTCTATAACTTCTTGGACTACATTAAATGTGCTCATCTAGCAAATATTACAAATGCAAAAAAAGGTGGTCCCAGCAATCAAGGAATAATGGACCACATTTATGTAGATTATATTAAAAAATGTTGACAAGACCGTCTAACTAGAAAGATCTGCTAGAAGCCGAGAACCGTATGTGAATAACATTTACAACCAAAATAAATTTGCATAGTAGACAAAAGTTGGCCTTGAAACTGATAGATCAAAATCTACAACGAACATTCACAGAGAGGGTTTTTTAGGGGGTTACTGCAAGTTCAAGGTAAAACAAATTCCTTAAGCTTTTCAAGTGTAGAAGCTTGTAGCAATGATTATGATCTATTTTAGTTGGACTACTTATGCAATACCATCTCCATTCATTTACTTACCCCTTAAGAACCGCATCTTTTTAAGTGAATCATAATCAGATAATTAAGTTACATCCTCCAACCTAAGAGCTACGAATTCAGAATCTTCATTCTACAAAAGTGTATTACAGTATATGCTTACCATAGCAGCACCTCCAAAAAGATCATCTGGTGTGGATGAGCACAGTATGACGAGGTCAACATTCTCAGCCTCAACTTCAGCCATTTCCAGAGCTCCCTTTGCTGCCTGAACAGCCAACCCATTTAAATTTTCAGTTCCTGTCAAGGTATTAGCTAAGCAGATATCAGATACAAGTGGTTGGATATGAAAATTGCATTGCATCATGATCAACACGTTTGAATGCTAGTTGTAGCATTAGAGAAACAGAGAGAAAATAGAACTACCTAAGGATGTCGAGAACCTTATTGCAGATGCAATCAAGACTGGTGCTAACTAATGCTTTAGAGAAGTATTTAGTGAATATTCAGCTTTCTATTTAATGCATGAATAGGTGTTTAGCGGAACAGAGATAAGTAGAGGTGATTAGAGATCATGGAGGATTCAAGCTAAATTCGTTGGTCAAGGTAAATTAACTTATGCGGTTTAGAGAGATGTCAATATGCATCCTTGTGAGAAGGGCAATACGAAGAATTAGATATCATGCAATTCTCATCCAGAAAAGAACAATAGGATTAATTATGAATACCAAATTAAGAAAAAAAATTACAGTACAAATATGTTAGTCGTAAAATACCAAATGGGGGGAAAACACAGTTTTAGAGTACAGACCTAGATTACAGGGAAAGAAGAAGAAAAACTGTGAGTTAAAAGAAAATATAGTAAGCAGATAAGATCATACCTGTAAGCACCCGTCTGTTACGAATCCCTGTGCGAACAGAAATCCATTCATCTGAAGTTTCAACGAATTGTGCAAGGTCATCGTTAGAAATCTGAAGCTTTGGCACAGAGGAACCGCATCCAGCAAGTTTGGAGCCCATGCCAACCACTCTGTAAAATTCTTGTCAAGTTTAGCAAGCGCATCATGATTAATCCACAAAAGGACATCACAAATGCAGAAACAATCGACCTGTAAAATGTGACTACATGCTACATAAGTGGACAGAGAATTCATTATTACCCAACACAAGTGTAAAGCAGATTAAATTTAGCATCATGTTCCCAACGTCATTTTGTTACAAGGTTACAAGACGCTACATAAATGAAGTGCTTCAAAAGACGTACGATACAGATAAGCATGCAAATAGAGAAAAGGAAGAACTAGACTTACGAAACAAGAATAATGAACCAGTATTCCTTCGTAAAGGTTGTGATCAACATGTACAATTGTACATGAGGATACTTCATGTCAATAGTCATGAAGGAAATTTCATCCTATATAGTCCTAAAACCATTTTCCTACATCAATGCATTATTAATACAGTTTGAAGTGATCTTCATGCCTAGAACATATATAGATGAAAATCACGAATATAACACATTTTCCCTATGCACCAAATGGTTGCAAAATTGTAGGGTTTTTTTTGTAGTGATACAAATGTGACCACTAGATAATGGATAAAATAAAGTCTGAACCACATGATTGGTTTGAGAACCAAATTATTATTAAGGATGGTATATTTCATATCTTGTATACTTATTTATATAGTACGGACACTTTATCATGAAGATGAATGATACTGGACACGTGTTATTTGTACTTTTTCATAATTTACAAAGAATTATTTATGTACACAAATGCATCCACGTCAGCATGACTGTATCCTATACAACCTAGGCACTTATCCAAAGACTTTTCTAGCCATTTGTATCTCATCAGCCTAAATCTTTGCATTATTTTCTTTGACGAGATTGAGAGTGGGAAAAGAGAGTTGATTTATGAGGGGCGGGTCACTTGGGAGGAAAACAGCTGACATGAATTCACTAATTATTTGGCCATTTTATAACAATTATGGGGGAATGACAGAATAAATCTGGATGTCCGTTTTTTATGCCACCAAGATTACAAGTAAAACAATCATACCTGTATCTCTTCTAGTAGTTCTCAAATTGTGGGGACCATAATCATAAATTTAGTCCTTTAGTAGTTATTAGACTGCCCCTAATTAAGAACCGGCCTAATTTTAGATAAGAAGTAGTTCGATAGTGAAATAAGAACATGATGAAGAGATTGTTCTTTTCATCCATACAAAAGCAGCCTTATGGGCCTTCCATGAAAATTAATTGCACATTGGTGGTTGGATTTAAGTTTATTTCATCCACCCCGCACAGTGCTCAACCATAGTGTGTTAGGAAAACATTATCCCCCC